ATCCAAGCGAGAAAATACTTACGTCATTTAAAGGCAGCAAGGCATACAGTGAGGAAGAATGAAACACTTGACATTAAGTCTCTTAAACCGTAACAGAAGTTGAACTTCAGTGCTTAATTAAGCTTGACAACATTGAAGCAAAAATAGGTGTGTACCGTATGTGCATATCTACGATTTGTAAGCATATGTGTACGAAGGTAAAGACGTTGAAAAAAGATAAAAATGTATATATTATAATTATATACTTAAGTACTCACTGTTACCAAGGTTGCTAAAATACTCATTGAAGCTGCGTACTTTTATGACACAAGATTTGGTAAATTTGAAGTTATTTTTTCGATAGTTCGTGGCTTTGGGGAAACTTTGATGGGTCAGGCTTTTGACGTGAACTCTTCATAGACTGTCGTTTCAGAATAGCTGCTTAAATCTCTCTCGATACACGCTAGAAACAAGATATTATCTTTCTAATGAAACTATCGTTTCATTGTTATGGTAATGCCGGCTAATGAGAATCCCGTTATTGTTGGAGAGCTGGTTCTGTTGTGAGCTCAGTGCGCGCTGGTGGACTAACAGTAGATATTAGGGAAGATCTTCTTCACCTAGCATGATTGTAGGTGCTCTGAAAGTGTCGCCTCTCTATAGTAGTTGAAAGTCGTTCTAAGTGGTATCTGATTGGTACCTATACTGTAAGACTAAAAGCTTGCTATATTTCTAGTGGCGAATTTGCTGAAAAATATGTAAGTAAAATCTTCTCATAATTTCTTTTGGCTTTCCACTTTGGGGAGACTACGGCGGAAATTCCTTGACTCCTGCTCGTTTGGCCACTCATAGGAATTATGTGGAATCGAAAATCAATTAGTTTATAAAATTTGACAACTTGATTCATCGATATATAATCCATCGTAAAGGGTTGCATAAGCTTTCTCGAGCAAAATAATACATATTTTTAATAGAACTTTTTACAGGATCAAATGAAGTAAAGCCAATCACCAGGAGATGGTGAACCCGATTCGACAATCGATGACGATGAAGCGAACGTTCCACTGCCCGACCATGAAGAATTTCGAATAGCAATTACCCGTCTGAGGAACAACAAAGCGGTGGAGGCCGATGGATTTCCGGCCGTGTTATTCAAATACGGCAGCAAAGAATTAAGAGGAGCATGCATCAGCTTCTTTGTGAAATATGGTCGGACGAAAGCATGCCCGTCGATTGGAATATAAGCGTGCTCTACTCAATCCACAAAGAGCGAGAATCGCCAAGTCTTGGAAAAGACCCGTGAAAAGAAGATCAATGTCTGAATTTATTATCCCTGCAAAACTAATACGTCTCTGTGAACTAACGTTGAGCAATACCAAAAGATGCATCAAACGAGGTTTCAGACAAGGCGACTCCCTTTAGTGTGACTTCTTAAATCCAGCGGCAGAGCTCCTCGATTAAGCACAATCTTCTATAAGAGTCTACAACTGGAGTCACTGTTGACAGTCAAAGATAATATCGTCTATCTTGAAGCCAGCATTAATACCAACAACAATCAACAATGACAGCCTCGAAATCCAACACAAAATAATTCTTGCGAACAGGTGCTACTTCGGACTTAGTAGTCAATTGAGAAGTAAAGTCCTCTCTCGACGAACAAAAACCAAACAATATAAGTCACTCATTATATGTATGGTGCAGAGGTATGGACGATCACAACATCTGATGATCTTACGAGTTTTCGAGAGAAAGGTTCTGCGGTAAATTAAAGGTCCTTTGCGCATTGACCACGACGAATATCGCATCCGATGGAACGATGGGGTGTACGACATATTTCAGCGAATTAAAGTCATCTCGTTCATATGGATAAAACACTCCAGCTCTGCAAGTATTAGACGCAGTACGCGCTGAGGGAGCAGAGGAAGAGGAAGACATCCACTCAAACAGCGTCAAACAGCAAAAAGGAAGAACGACTGGTGTTGTAAACTCGGCTATAAACGCTTAAGAGGTGTCTACGCCAATAAAGAAGAAGATTTATAAACCTGAGAAAAATGCAGATGCCCCTTATGTTTGAGCCTCATATCTTTAAAATATAATATAAATAATATTAAAATTTATGCAGATATACATTGTAGTTAAAATTTCCAAATATTGCAAAGAAATGAATAAAAATTAAAATTATATGAAATAATATAACTTGAAGGTGGCCATAAAGTACCTAATTAAAGAAAAACATTTTATTTGCACTTTGCAACTAACTATAAAGTTAAGGCTTTTTGCTATGCAGATACCTGTGTGCAGACACACACATATATCTACATACATACATGCACGTGCTTGCAACGCTGTAAACATGGCGACCCCAATGACGTATGACTTTATGATTTATAAATTCGCAACAGATCCACAGAGATTGCAACTAACCCCATTCACAATTTCCACGCTTTGATGTAGGAACCTCAAAAGCAGCCAAAACGAAACATTTATTTACTTACAACTGTGCGCACATGGCATTGTAACCCAGTGTGCTTGTGTACGTGTGTGTAGGGGCATAAAATCAGCGCTGCAGATTACGCAATTTCCAACGGGCATTGTAACAGTGTTTGCAGTGTTTGCAGTCAATGCGAAACCGGCAGTGAAACAAAACATTGCCGACTCGTAAACGCTGCGGTTTAGTCAACCAATAACCGATGGAGGTCTCGGCAAGAGTGCGCGCGCAGCTTGTGAATGTAATTGAATGTAAAAATGCACACACAAACAAATAAAATGTACAAGTTTACAACTTACATAATCAGCGAGCGAGTACTGTATTTTACTGCGCACACAAATGCAGTTCGCATATTCGCAAGCGATTCTGCAATGCGTCGGTCACTTGGCCAATTCCGCTGTCAACCGGTTTGTTGTCTTTTCCGTTGTCCGGCAATGCCGTAATAAAAGCAAAAAACGTGAAAAAATCGAAATTCTTTGTATTATGTAATTTTTGGACTCTGCAGGTTTTCAGTGGTCTGAGCGTGTGGCAATGTAACATCAGTGAGCAAAAATCAAGTCTTTACTAAATGCTGGTTATGGCTTGTTGCACAAGCAAATTGCTTGGTATGTAATTAAAGTCTGCCCGTGGTGCTTAAAATTGTATTGGCTAGAACTTGCATAAGCAGGAAGTTTTTTGGTGATTTGGCGGTGTAATTGATATTCTTATTTGGAGGTGTGTATTAGAGCGGGTATGCCGGAATGGTTCTAGGGATACTTCTCAACAACTTTTCCTAAGATACTTTGGTTCAGAAACTTCTTGCGATTTGTAAGACGAAATTGTTTAAGGATCATACAAATTTATTCGTCAGTTTTTGGGATAACCGAATAAAATTTAATGTATTTTTTTGATATTCTATTCATCATTTGTCGGGATCAGTTAGTTCGGACCACCATAAAAACATGCATATTTCTCAATCAACCGATTTTTCAAATTTATTTAACTTCGCCTCAAAAAAAAAAAAAAAAAAAACGATGTATATGGATACTGTTAGAAAAAGTTTTTTACAGTTTTTTAGAAAATTATATATATTTACATTTCAAAAAATATTAATAAAAGAGTGTGGTGGAAGTGATAAAAATCTTTTATTTGTCTTGAAAATACAAAAATACTCAATGGTGGGCTCACAGATGCTGCATAAAAAATTTGTGCCGACGTGCTCAAGTTATCCCAATATTCATTATGCACTAATCGAAATAATAGCACAAATGTACTTTGTTTAGCTCTAAGCCGTTCTGTGGAAATTCTGGTAATCTCTGCTACGATAGATATATACATAGAATTTATGGTATCCACGATTGCTGAAAATCCTGAACTTACATATATATATTGGGCTATGTACTATCATCCCAACATTCTTTTGCCTTGAAGCTGGAAACATTGTGGATATACTAAAATTATCAGATTACTCATACACCAGATGATCTTGCTGTTTTATTTGGCTTTTCTTTCTGCTGACTTATTGAATTGCAATAAGCTTATACTGCCTTCCAGGGAGTCATACGTCGCTTCTAACCGTGATGCTCTCCGCCTATTATCCAATAATATAATTTTTTGCAATAACAGTGCAAACTCACATATGTATTAGGTTTCCATTTGAAATTTTCTAAAAAGTTTATGGTTTAAAATTAGATTCTTAAAATATTTTGAATAACCTGAAGACCGGTTATCCGAATAGGCGGTTTGTAACCGTTCGTATGAATATTAACTGATTAATACTATTCGAAAAATCATAACATTGCGATTGTTCGCAGCAGAAGTAGACCAGTTAATCCGGTTAGTCGAATACCAAGAGCTCTAATTTTAACCTCCCATATCTTCCTTTCCAAGCATGATTCGCTTTGTATCAACGCTAAATGAGTGAGAAATTGTTCTGACAAAGCAGCGATAGGTGTAAATATAACTTTACCAACGCAGCTAAAATAGTTCTCGAGTGTGTTGTGGATAATTCCAGTTATGGTGGGGTGCCTCCTGGTAAAAGTTATAGTAGAGATGCCTTCACGCCTTTTTTTGTGACAACTTTATGAATTAATTGTACTTTATTATTAAGTTTTTCGCATCGGTGGGTATATAATAACGATTGATATTTCTTAGAATATCTTTCATATAAAAATTGAGTTGTGAAAATATATTTTTTCCTAATTCACCTGCTTCCATTTGTGTTATCATAACCGTATTATTATATCAGATATCCGATTATCCCTAGAGCACAATCGATTATCCAATAGAGCACTAGTGCGATTTCCGGTCCACTGAACTCTGCCTTAACAACTCCATTCGTCTAAACTACCATTGGCCGGGAAGGTTAGTTTTCATCAAATTTTTGTCACACTGCTTAATACTAATGAATTTTAACACATAATTTATTATTTCAGAATTATATTATTTCATTATTAATATTACTTTAGAAACTTCATAAAATTTTAACTTTTAACCTAAAAGTTTATTATTAATTTCAAAAAAACCAAAAATTGTTAAATCGATTTTAGGTTATCTGTACATATGTAGATGAAAGATGAACGCTTAAGGCAATAAGTGTATGTATATACAATACATGAGTAAGTGAATGATAATGAGAATATCGAAAATTAAAGAAATTTATACATCCTGTTTCAGTCTTTCAGACCTTTTTTCCATGGGTCGTCAGGTACTCTAGACGCAACTGTCGTGTCATCACATGAGCAATACGTATGCGCAGCCACTCTGGGCTCAGTTTCATGAAAAAATACTGAAGCATAATAATTTTCGCAAATTAGAAAGTGACACATTGAAAACAAATGTTATATTGGCATAAGTATATATGTTTAGATTGTTTTTGTTGGTAAAAATTTTGGCTCAATAATGTTCAAAATTTTTTGTAATTTAAATGTGTGATGTTTAATATAAATATGTAATTAAAAAATTGCCTAAAAAATCACTCACCTGCAAGCCATGTGTCCAATAGCCCGTCGTCTCCGTCGATTTGCCCAAAGTAAAAACGGCTGAACGTGTGAAGCTCTTCACATCTGGTATTAAAAAGCCACCCTTCATTACGGTATCGGAATATTGATTCATTTTTGTGACCAAAAAAAGCGGTGTGACACACTGTACAGTTATATTATGTTCCGCCAATTCACGCTCGATCGCCTGCGAGAAACATCGTACATAGCGTTTGGTAGCGGCATACACTGCCATATAGGGTATAGGTTGTAATTCACTGCCAGAGGATATATTGACAATGGCACCACGTTTCTGTTTCTTCAGTTCTGGTATGAGCATACGTGACATTATGGTTACAGCGGCGACATTTATATTGATCATATCCCAAATGGTGTCTTCGGGTATGTGGGAGAGTTCGTCCGGGTAGTCGTACATTTTGCCAACATTGTTAACTGTAAGATAAATGTGGAGGTACATGTTCCACGGATAAACATTTTTTGAATACTAATTATATTTCTATCAGTAACGGTGTGTTTTGTGGTGTGGATTTTGATATAGTGAAAATATTTCCAGCACTTACCTAATATGCTTACTGGTATGCCACTTAGCTCTCGTTCAATATGTGTATACACCTCACGCCCCTTGGCGAAGTCTGCTACGATCCATTTCGTCTTCACTTTGTACTCATTTTCTGTAAAAAATATTGAAACATATATACATATATATATTTAGTTCATGTTTACGTTCCTCGATTTGCTTATGAATTACTTGCATTTTGTCTTCGAGTACACATCATTAGCACAATTCATTCCAAAATTATTTTAAAATATTTAAACATTCTGCTATATTTATTTAGACAATGATTTTACCATTCATTTCATAACTTACCGATCTCCTCTGCCACCGCTATGAGCTTCTCCTTGGTGCGCGAGATGAGCACAACATTTATGCCTTGTTTGGCCAATTCTTTAGCATATTCCCGTCCAATGCCATCCGTTGAACCAGTGATTACTACAAAGTTGAGAAAAAATAGTGTGTTGCAAGTAAATTGACCACAAAGAAAAATGGTAGTTAAAGCATACGATTGTCATTAACAGCTAAATGCTAATTGTTCGCCTTTTTTGTGGGTTGGGTAATGGTGCCAGCATTACACTACGAGCGATATTTATTCAAGTCATGTTCATAATTGCTGCTTATTTTGAGTTAGTAGTGTGGAAATATGCATTTTTATTTTCATAACTCTTTACTTTGATTTTTAAATTTGTGGTATTAAACTTAGCGCTTAGAATTTGAACAATTTGGATGACAAAATTTTGAGTAAGACTCGACCACTTTAGAACTTGGAAATTAGGAAATTTTAATTTGATGCTGGGTGGTTACTTTGATCTATATTTGCTGTGATTAGCGTTTGATTCCGTGACACAGCTGGTCACGGATATATCGGCCGCCCACCAGTACCGAATTATGCGGCATACCTATTGAAAATTGGAAGAGCCTTCTTTTAAACCTCTTGTAATATTGATAATCGAAGCCAGTGTACTTTTTCTAGACTGGTCCATTTGAATGGAGATATGAAATGATCCAGTCTGACGACGATTTTTATTGTTGTAAAATATACAAAAAACTAGTAAGATACATTTTTTAGTTTCCAATGAAAAAAACGTTAACAAATTCATAAAAAAATATTTACTATAAACTATTTTGTCGATAATATAAGTATTTTAATTAAAAAAATATAGGAAAATGTTAGAATCTAATATTAGTGCTCTCAACATCTCTTATAAGTCTATTCCACAAAACGGGGTTTTCAATAGGGAGCCTACAAATATATATTGATATTTATTTTCAGAAAGGTTTGTCATTTCATCATGGGATGATGAACGATTCAACAACGAATCACTACAAAATGTTCATGTGCCAGTGAGACAAAGAAATGACTGTAGTATTGCTGCCGCTAGCGCACCAATTGAGGAAGACCCAAATCTGTCTCTCACACGTCGTTCTCAAATGTTGGCCATCTGTGTGTCGTCGTTGTGGCGAATTTTGCGAAAAGACCTTGGCCTCTATCCGTCAAGGATCAAATTGAAGCCGTTTTCCCATCAGAATCGTCGCATGTTCATTAATCGATTTATCTCATGACATGGACCAGTCAAATGATTGCCGCGGTCGTGTGATTTGACGCCGTTAGACCATTTTCTGTGGAGATACGTCAATACTTATTTTAAAGCAAAGGCATGCCAGTTATTAGTAGTTCTCTATTTTTCGAAAAATAATAATGTTATTCCACTAGTACTCTTAAAGAAATATGTCGTCTGAGCATTCATGGGAGATTATTTGCTAATCCATTCTTACTTTTGTTCGCTAATGTCATATATGGTAATGACCTACGTTCTGATATAACTTATTCAAAGTAATTACCACCAGTTAACCTTAAACAAACTACTCAACTTGAAAATCGCCAAAATCCAACTGCACTTTAGTATAGTACTCGTATAACTGAGTATATTACATTAATACATAAATATTTCGCAAGGTCAAGCGAATCAAAAATTTTTAGATACTTAAGTTTGCATAATAAAAAGTTAAAAAAAACCTGAACCACAGTTGGGCTTGTTACTACGAAATACAGAAATGGCAATAAACCTTAAACATGTGATACTCGCGCGACTCAAGTTAATTAATAAAACAATAACAAAAGCATGACGCTTTGATGTGAAAACAATAATAAGACTCGAGCAAAAAAGAAAACGTCTAGATATTTTAACAACCGCCCAAACTGACAGACCAGCTGACAATCACAACGCACCGGCTAGACAATCTAAGTAAAGCCGGTTCCGTGTGCCGCTATTTATGAGTAATATGACGCTGCTAGTAGGTGAATGACTTCGAATAAAGCAACAAGTGAAGTAAAGTATGCAATCAGATATTACAAAAACAAAACGAAAAATAGAAATAAATAGAATAGCGCTTTTAAAGTTAAGCGCCAATGTAGACACGATAAATCACGCAATAAGACTATAATTATATCTAACTATACTTAACAGTGTGTTTATATGTAATGTATATGTAGTTAAGTGTAATACAAGACTAGTAAGAATTGTAGAACAATTTTTTTCTTTCGATATAAAAACATATTCTTGATAAAAAAGGGTTTCCTATAAACAAAAATTATAAATTTGTAACAAAAATTTTAGCTTTCTTATATTTTATCTAAAATATTAAATCTTTGGTTTTACATTTTTAGTTTTTTTGAAAATTGTGGTATTTAATACATTTTCCCTAGAAGGTTATTATAGCGAAGAAACCGAAAAGCGAAAGTGTTATTGTACGTTTGCGTGTGTTAATGTTGTTGCCATTTAATTTGTTGTACAACGGTGCATTTAAGTAACACGTTTGCAGTAAAATATTGTTTAGCAATTCATTCATAAATTCTGCCGAAAACCCAGAAGAATTTACAATTGTAAGCCGTTTACGATAAAACTTCATGGCTTCATGGTTTTTTCTTTTGCTTTTTGTAATCTTCCCATATGGCTTAAATACTTAATAGGGTCACCAATTCAGCCATTCATGGTGAACGCTTTACCTTGTTGTAACTTGTGGTTTATTATATCTCTTCTTCGGCTGAATTTTTGTATTTCGGTTTTGTTCACTGGTGTTGCACGTGCACATAAGTATGTACGTATGTTACCAAAGATTATAGCGAGCACCCAGAAAACCGTTTTAAGGGCTTTGTGAGACTCGTTACGTACACTTACAACTCGTTTTCAAGGGCGTTCAGCTATTTACAAGCAATTTTTTGCTGCTTTTGGCTCTAAAGGGCAATCGGTCGCAGGTAGGAAATTATAATTTTTTGCAAAATATTCAAAAGTGATTATAGAGATTGATTTATCGACGAATATCAACGACTTCAATTAGAAATATTCAAAAGTGATCGAAATAGATTAATTTATCGATAAATATCGAAAACATCAGATAAAACTAGGCAAGAGTTATCGATAGAAATGTATCTGTGGTTAAATATGGAAATTTTCGGACACAATATAATCAAAAGTTATCGATAAAGATAAATTTATCAACAAATATCGAAAACTTTAAATAAAAATATTAAAAAGTTATCGATAGAGATGATCTTATCGATAAATAAGAAAAACTTTGGAAAAAAATATTCAAGAGCTTTCGATGGAGCTTTGAATACAACGTTGAATACCAAAATTCGTAGATAGAAATATTCAAAAGTTATCGATAAAGATTAGTTTATCGATAATTTTTAAGTAAAAATGAGAGAGGAATTTACCGATATATTTATTGCAAAATTTTCAAACAAACCTATTTTGGATATAGATATAATTATCGATAATTCTATAGAGATAAAATGATTGATAAATATCTATAACTTGAGGTATATATATATAATCAAAAAATGATTGAAACCCCATTTTTATCTATGCACACAAATATTTAATATTTTCCATTAGTCAACAAAAAGAATTTAATTATGCAGAGGAAGTCAGACATGACAGGATTGTAATTTTAGGTATAACCTAAAACAGGTGTTTGAAATTCGCCACAAAATTTTTTCCAGAAAGAAATGTTCAAAACCTTATAAAATAAATACATATATATATATGATCTGCGTGACAAGCTGAATCCCTGTGTCTTTATGCCAGTATATACGCGAACTATTCCTTAGAGGTATCGATTTGAAATTTTGCACACATAATTTTCTTCTGAAAAAGCGTTTGTCGGAAACGCTGATATTGGGACCACTACAGCATATAGGTGCTACACAAATTGAACGATTGGAATCAATTGCTTGTATGGCAAACTTTTTCACTCAAGAAGATATCTTCAAGAAATTTGGCTTGGCTTATTGTCTAAAGCAATGTTGCAATCTCCGAAGAAATTGTTTACATCGGATCACTATAGTGTATAACTGTCATACAAACTGAACGTTCGAAGTCTATGTAAATTTTTGAAATTCTAGGCACCAAAGGTCTCAGCAAATTACATACATATATTGAACTATTTTTACATAATCAGTAGCAAAGAGTGTTGTTTAAATTGCACTTTGCACTAACGAATTCATGTAAGTCTAACGAACATTCATAAACTAAATACAAAATATATATACTATATAATAAATATTGACCAAAACTATTTGAGCCTAATCACTAACCTGCCCACTTTCCAAACTTTTCCACCAATGTTTGCGGCAGTTGAGGCTGGAAATATGGCTCCAGAATCGCCTTGATGATTAACACCACCGATTTGAAGTTATCGAAGAAGAATACGGCAATGGCCAGGAGGCCGACCAAATAGACACCGAACGACAGTAGTTGCCAAACGAACGCCATTCTCAGCAATGTGTAAATGCTCACTTCATCGAGGGGAATCATGTTGAGTATTTTTTTTTAGAAATTTTAGTTTTATATTTATGTTTTTATTTTAGAAAAATGCGCTCAATGATTTTGATAATAAACGAATGTGGGGCAAAGAATAGTTAGTGATAAGCGAAAGCTAGATAAGAAAATTCACTGAACACTCATAAATGTCTGTAAAAACGCAACAATGTTTACAAAAGACAACAACTACTTCACGCTAAAAATAAATTCCAACACTTTACCCTCTCTCGGAATCACTCAATCAATTGAAAGACTTTCTCACTTGCATTGCGCTGTGGACTCACGCCACCGTTATTATTTATTATTGTTGTTGTTGCGCTCAAATTCAATCGGAATTTGTTTGTTTATTTTTATTTGGTTTTGTAGCCAAAAAGTCAAAATCATTTGCAATTACAATTTCGTTAAAATTGAAAAAAATTTTCTGCTATTTTTTTATTTTTCTCTAATGTGTATTTATTTACATTCTCAATTCCGAAATTCAATTTCCGAATAAAAGTGCAAAGTACACTCTCACTAAAGTTAATTGAAACTTTTATTGAAGCACTAAGCGTGGACGCGCTTGATTTTTAGGCAGCTTGAGCTGTGTGAACTGCACGTTTGGCCGTCGAGTAGGCGACTGATCAGCAAGCGTCAAGCTGCAGTCGAAAAAATCTTCAACAATGTTGCGCTAAAGTGACTAGCAACAATCGCAGCTTTGTGGACTGGTAGTGGAGGCTCTGCAGCCAAAGCCGCGCTCACCAATTAACCAAGCCGAACCATTGATGGCGGCAGACACCTGCTTGTGGCTGGGTTTGCTTTGTTTTGCTTCAAGCTCAGCTGGGAATGCAGCAGATGCTGCGCAGCCGCATGCAACATCTTGTGGTTGTTTCTGCTATCGCCTTGCTTACATACATACACTGAATATAGGTCTGCATATGTGGGCTGTTGTTAAGGCAATAGTTTGTTTCGTTTTTTATATTTCCATTTTTGCTTGTAAATTGAGCTTGAATGAGCTCAGTGCTGTAGTGTTGTTGTTTAACGATTGTGTTTAGGTACATTTTTTTGTTTGGTTTCTATTTTATCACAAGGCTTTCTACATAACTTCATACGAAAATAACGGGTGTGATGGGTTATATCAATAACTATTTGAATTGGTGGATGGGAAAGAACTTGGGAAATATTTTACTTTTGATATTTGACAAAATCCGAAGCAGTACCCATAAATGGTGAGTAAGATTGTCAGACTTTTCGTATAGTTTCAGTTTTATCTTTAAATATTATAACAGAATATGTAGATACTCAATAGCTAAGGTTCGATTCCGTGATAGATGTTTGTACCGATTATGAAGACAATACTTGAGGTCTGGTCTTTGAATGAGTGAACAAGTATTATTTTATACAAGGTTTGTTCGGAATGTAATAGGACTGAGTCGATTTAAAAAAATGTATTGAATAAATCATTAAAATTCTTTAAAAACTTTCAAAATAGGCACCATCCACGTAGATGCAGTGAAGCCATCGCGATTTTTCAGCATTGAGGCGTCACGGAAGGCATTATCTGGAATAGCCTTGAGAGCCGAGATGCATGCTGTTTGGATCCCCTTTCATCGGCCTTTTCAGACAAGGAAGAAAAAGTCCGGGGGTCCACATCTCGGCTGTAGAGCAGCTGCGGAAGCGTTGGGACTCTGGCCGTGGTTAGGTAGCTGTTCACAAGAAAGGCGGTGTGAGCCGTGACGCTGGCATGTTGCAACTTCCAAATGACTGCGATGTCTTGTCGGACACGATTGACCCTTCGTTTGAGTCTCTTGAGGACTTCCACGTTAAACTTGGCGTTGACGGTTTGTCGCGGAGGAACAAATTATGGTGGACAATGCCTTGGATGTCAAAAAAGATAATGAGCATCGTTTTCACTTTGGACTTACTCATTCATCAGTGACCTTTTCCCGGCCCTCCAAAAAGGACTGGAATCACCGAAACACACCACTTCTTGTTAAATCAACATCTGGGTAAGTGTGCTTGATTATATCAAACGTCTCTATCGCAGATTCACACAGAATTTCATCGCGTACGTCTGCATTTTCGTCTTGCACCACTCGCAAGTCGCGCGAAAATATTTGTCCTGACTCTCCGTGTGCTCGGAAACAATTGAACAGCTCGTTCGTTAGCTAAGAACGCTCTCTAGCGAATCCAGTCGGTGCGCGCACGATCAGAAGTACAGTCGCGGCGGAAAAAATCAGTGCCTATATGTGCTAAAGTAATTATTATGTTTTATGCTCTTGGACGAAGTATTCACCTAAAATACCTAATATTGTTAATCTGTTGACAAAAAGTCTATCTTCGAAAGTAACAGACGCACAAATTAGCCAGAGTGAGAAATATACCTCCCACTATAATATGAATTTAATAACTTGTGATGAAACTGTTTTGGGTTCGCTTAAACTTGGACAGTTGCGAATCGAACAACAATTGACAACAAAAAAAAAAAAAAACTAATATATGGCACAATCCCACAAGGAATAGAATAATATGTGATAAAAGTAGAGTTACTTTTTTTAGTAGCATTTTTTTGACATCACACGTGTCATTAGGCGGTTAAAAATCGAAATGCTCGAATGAGTCATCAAAAATTAGACTCAACGGATCTAAAACGTAGCCGCGGCCATCATTTGAAGGAGATAATCTTCCAAAAAATAAATGCCAAAAAATTATCTTTGGAATGATAAAAAACATTACGCAGTAAATTTATGTTTTTCCATCTGCATGAATGGCTAAGGTTAAAATTTTTGAATAATCTTTTCTGTGTGACTACATGCGTACCGAAGTCGTTACGGTTATACATTTTACAACCCAACTTCGAATACATATTGTAAACAATGGCTCTTAATGACTTCTGTTCATATCGGTGGTTTGTCTGCAATATTACGAGTATACAATTATTATACCCTGAACAGGATATATTAAGCTTGTCACGAAGTTCGTAACACCCAGAACTAAGCGTCGGACACCCTATAAAGTCAATATGTTGAGCTGAGTCGATTTAGACATGCCCGTCTGTCTGTCTGTCCATCCGTCTGTATGTATATATAAGCGATCTAGTCCCGCAGTTTTTAAGATTTTGTTTTGAAATTTTGTAAACGCCATTTTCTTTTCAAGAAGCTGCTCATTTGTCGGAACGGCTACTATAACATGTAGCTGCCATACAAACTGAACCATCGGATTCAAGTTCTTGTATGGAAAACTTTCGCATTTGACAAGAYCTATTCACGAAATTTGGTATGCATTTTTTTCTAAAGCAACAATGTAATCTCCGAAGAAATTGTTCAGATCGGTTAACTATAGCATATAGCTGCCATACAAACTGAATGATCGGAATCAAGGTCTTGTATGGAAAACTTTCGCATTTGACGTGGTATCTTTACGAAATTTGACATGGATTACTGCTTAAGGTAATAACATAATCTCCGAAGAAATTGCTCAGATCGGATTATTATAGTATATATATTACTAAAAGAAATACACCTGTTTTTTAGCTTCGGTGCAGCCGAAGTTAACGTTTTTTCTTGTTTTAACAAATTTTTACATATGAAAAAGTGTTTGTAATGGTAAATTTTAGAGAATTTGTGTTAATTTTTGAAGTGGAGATTTAACAAAAAATCATCCATTACAATGCATTTTTTTCGGTTTTTCTTCGAAGCACAATTGCTTACAAAAACGGAGTTATCATACACACATACATATGTACTATGTTACCATACTTACACATATGTGAATACAAACCCACATTCAATGGGCGAAACTAGTTTGCTGCTAGAGGTGTTAAACACCTTTGAGCTGCATCTGAGTAAATAGACAAGTGTTGAAGTTTTTCATCTGCAGCCTGACCTTTCAACCAAGGCGCATGCATTCATGCGTATAAACAGACATACATAAACAAACATAAGCAATGCAATATTGGGTGCAGAGTATTGAAGTTTTCAATTTTCATTTAAGAAATAACAGAAATACAAACAGTATTGATGTGCCCATTCCAAAGCTTTGTTGAAAAAAGTCATTTAGAGTTTTTATTGCGGTGAAGCTACTTCTTTTGTGTACTAAGCAGTGCAAGCATTCTAAATCTTCAAGGCACACACATTGGGCTTTGCTGAACTTTGATTTCAATGGGAGAAGCATTGTTATTTTAATTTTAAAATTAGAGTATTTACATTACAATTTGAAGAAATATTTTCAAACTGATGAGATTAGCCACACAGAAACAAGTCTATATTATATTAAGGAGTTACATGGGTTTCACGACTTAAAAAAATCGAATTTTTTGTTGTCTTATTCGAATCTATAACATCTCTCAGAATATTGTCCTAAACGCTCTACTTAATATAAGTAATAGTTTTGGAGTTATAGCCTTCGCAAGTTGTATGTTCGAGTTCAGTTATACTCGTATACATAATGCTTTTAGGAAAAAAATGTAAGTCTAAAAATAATCATTAGTGTCTTTCAGAAGTACATAATGTAAAGTACATGATGACTGAAAATATTCAGCAAAGAAGTTTCAATAAATTTTGTGCGTGGAATCAAACGTCAAATGTTAGGAAAGACCTTCGGTGATAATTGTTTGTCGCGAGCAAGTGTTTTTCATTGATCAACACGTCAATAAACTAAAAGAAATGGTGCTTGAAAATTGACGATAACCGGCGAAAATCTTCCGGCTACCTTAGAATATCGGAAGGATCAGTTAAAACCACTTTGAAAGAAATTTGAACCTAAGAAAAGTAAAAGTACGATTGGTTGAAAAATCGCTAAAATTTTTCCAAAGAACCGCGTAGCGTTAACATACGTGTAACAATGCTTTCCGACTACCAGGATATCATGAAACGAAATATTACATGCGATGAGTATTGGATCTGTGCTGATGATGAGGAAACAGACGATCAATCAGGCGAATATCGTGGCAAAGGTGAGGCGAGGCCGAAAGAGGTTAAAAGAGGTCAAAAATCAAGGTTATGTTGACAGTTTTCTTCGATTCTAGAGGTGTGGTGCAGTCAACAAGGTATACGCGAAGCTATTCGTAAGAAGAGGCCCGAATTTCAGGCCGACAACTCTTGGTTTTTGCACCACCGTCGCATACTATAGAGATTTTTTCTACCAAAATTTCAAATATTTCTTAAAAATATTTGTGAAAGATTAAAAAAAACTATACTATACAATTTACGATTAATCCGCAATTCCATGCGCACGCTTACCATTTATTTTAAAATCGAATTTGTTTTTTTTGGTGTTATGTTTTGGATTCTTAATTGACAAACGACGCCCTATTTTGGTTTTACGGAAATGTGCAAATATTAGAATGTATATTTTAGTTTAATAAAACAAGTCGACTAAACTAAAATCTTTAAAACATAATAAAGTGTGGGCGTTTAGTTTGAGGGCATTTAACCATATGTGTATGGAATATACAAAATATTTTGCAAAAAATATCGAATATATTTGTTCTTCAAGGTTAGTTTTTTTATTTTCCTAAAACGAATTTAAAGTAAGTGTTTATATACGAGAATATATAAAGTTAACGTTTTTTCGATAATATGCGCTGAAACACATATTTTTGCATACTTTGAATGCATTATTTGTGAACAGTGGGCGATATGTCTAGC